CCTTTACAGGGGTAATATTAGTTCCTGTTTCAAAGAAATTCGGATCCGAAATTCGTTAACGGAATTTCGTATTTCGGATATAATTCGGAAACTGCAATTCGGATTTCGGATGCTCCGAAATTTGGAATTTCAGGAAAATTCGTACGAATTTCGATTCGTAACGAAACGAATCGCACATGTCTAGAGCTCATACAAGAATGGCAATATTTTCAGACTACGGGTTCTCTTCATAACCAATTAGCTTATTCATCCAGCAAAACTGCAGATACATTAGCAGTATGGCCACTAGATGGATCATGGGAAATAAGCACCTTAGTAACAAGTAGGGATGCATCGATACTTTTCGAGTACCAGTACAGATATTTGGCATTTTTTTATGAGAACTACCAGGGTTGCAGTGGTTGCAGCTGGGACCTAGCTCTGGCGCTCCACCACTGTCCTGAAATCATTAGTCTGTATTGTTTTAGAAAAACTGTCACATGACAATAAACAAAAATGTATCAGTACTCGTACTTGTAAGTACTCGGCAAGTACCAGTACTCGTACTCGCAAAACTGGTATCTGTGCATCCCTTTATTTATATTTATAAAAACAAAATCATACATTAAAACAGAGATGTGCAAATCCCAGGAGCTCCGTGTGCTCCTTACAAATGACAGCTGCCTCCTAACTTTTGAGTTTTTCTCTAGTCTAGTCTTGGAGCTGGAAAAGTATCTGTACTTGTACTTGTACTGAGTACAGTACTTGGTATCGGTGCATCCCTAGTAACAAGATACAATGTTACAATTCTAAAGACTGTTGGGGGGAATGAGCATATAAATGTAACCATTGATACCACGGGGATAGCAGTGGTTACATTTATATGCTCATTCCCTCCAGTTTTCTCTTGAATCATATCCTGTTACTAACATGTATTTATTTTCTATAATTCCTCAGCGCCATCTAGTTATAATGCAGTCATTTCCCTATTCACTCCGTTCTGTATAAATGAACATACTGAAGAACATTCAAACAGGAGAGAAATTACACAAAAAAATAGTTTTTGCCCCATTCTCTGAACATCTGGTTAACTCACACAGAACGTGTACCTGAAGTTTTACTGGATAAATAAGCTATGCAAACTTTTTATAATTAGGCCCCTTAGTGTTATGGTATATACCAGAAATGCCTGATAACCATTTTAAGGCCTGCAAGGTGGTCCACTCCTGACTACACACCATCGCTCTTCTGCACTAACATGATTGCCTTCCTGCCTGTCTACAACTGCTAAAATATACAAAAGTAACATGGTTGCATCATGCACTTGTTAAAATGGATCTGTCAGGATAGAAATATGGGAAATTCCCTGCAGAATCTTTTTGAAGGTGCAGGTTCCGGGGCTCTCAACCTCAAGTTTCCTTTATTACTTGGTGAGGCATGGATGTGGAACAAGCAAGCTGCCAGTATACTGAGCTTATATCATGCTTATTCCATTGACTGACTAAGTAGTGAAACAATGTTAGAGATGGCCTCGCTGTAGTATGCACGTTTAAAAATAAGTCAGTAATGAGGCTCCAGTGTTTCAATCCTGACAGGTCCCCTTTTAAATATTCTCGTCATAAAACTATCAGTTTTTGGTAATGCAAATCATACACGAATACAAGTATTATAAATGTACTATGAGCACTTAGCAAACATTGTAATGCTTTCTGGCACACAACATTTACTGTCCAACTATTAACTTCATGCCTGTTCCTAAATTAGCCACAGCAGCCCAGATTGTGTAAAGGGATACACTGCCCTCTTCTTCAGCTGATAATATTACATTTTCACAATTCTTCATTGAACTGTTAATTGGGACATTCCAATCCCCAAGTTTAAAGAACAAGCAAACAAACAGCATATATCAGCCAGGTCTGTGTGTCGAGTGTGAGAACAGAGCCACTGTGCACCGTGTTCCCAGTCAGCAAACAGTCCCTGCATGTACAGTCAGGGACAAAAACAAGAGGCACAGAACAGAAGGAGAAAAGGGACAAGCTGGGCCTTTGTTAACATTGTACTCAGCACCTTTAGAAAACAGACTGCTCAGTGCATTGGGCCCAGCCCTATTAGAGGGACTGGAGTAGGTGCAGCTTGTGACCCAATGACACTGGGGGATAGTCCCTGAGGTCTGTCAAGTCTGCAGCTGCATCTGCTAGTCTCTCGTGGCACAATGCTTGGCTCACATAAACTGGTAAGTCCTCTAATAAATTTTACACCATTACAAGGTCAGTGTATTTCATGGGTATCCATGGAAAATCTCATGTGTGCATTACCTGTAGATAGGTATGACTCTTGCCATGACCATATGTTATGTGTTAGCCAAGTTTTTTTTAACCGTTGCCCACAGTTATACTGACATAGTACTGTGTATCTATATTTTATCGCTTCCTGTGTATAACATATTAATTACCAAAGCCATTGGCATAATCTGTTAATTATCATTGGGTATAATACAATAATTACAATTGCACTGGATATAATCTAATATTTACCATTGCACTGGGTATAGTCTGTTAATAACCAATCTACTGCATATGATGCTCACAATAACACTGTACTGAGTACAATATATTAACATTGCACTGTTTATAAACTATAAATTACTAATGCATTGGGTATGTTATGTTAATTAACATTGCACTAGGTATAATCTGCTAATTACTACAATACAGAGTGTCTTTATGCAGTATGTTAAATATACTGATATAATATGCAGTTCAATAACACTGATTACCTGATTTGATGATATGATGAAAGCTGTAAATATAGAATGATTTACTCGTTGTTATGAGTACAATGCCCTAAAGTAAAAGTTTGACTTGTGGGTACATAGAATGTGCTATTACAGGTTTCCCCATTACTGTCAGATTTAGTTTGCAGTAGTTTATTGCCCTATATAATTACTTACCTTGCTTGCATTCAGGTACCTTCTTGTCACCATAGCGGAAAGAGTATAGCTCTAGTTACAGATATTACCTGCAATTCATCAGCTTAAGCAAAACTTGTCAGTAGGTCAGGCATTCACTGTCATAAGTGGAATGCATATAAAACGTAAGCAATCACTCAACGACCTCATAATGACAAGGGTGACATTGGATTCAGATAAACATTATCTTGTGTATGCTGATCAGGCCTACTGTTTTTGCAGTTTAAGCAAAATCTACTGGCGACAATCAATGTGTAGGTGGTGAACAATTAAAATGAGCATTGTAAGTGGCAAACATCTGTAGTAACAGTTGCTTCCAGTAAAAAAAAGTCTATACAAGAGGAGAACACCCATAGGCATGCAGATTTCTCACCCAGAAAGGCTGGCAGTGACAGATCTGCCTATTCGCATTGAATGGATCTACTATTATTTTTATTCCAAACTTACAGGGCTAAGGGTATAACCTTTCACAGCACTTGTACTGCAGTTAAATATTATCTGACAGGGTTATTCACAAAAGGGTGAAGAGTTTGGAGAAGGCAGGAGAAGTGAACAATCTAGGACAACATAGCTGAACTGGAAAAATTCTCCAATTCAGCTATGTTGTCCTTGATTGTTCACTTCTCCTGTCTTCTCCAAACTCTTCACCCTTTTGTGAATATCCCTGTCAGATAATATTTGACTGCAGTACAAGTGCTGTAAAGGGTTATTCACTTTTCTGATGGGACCATGACACTTTGCCAGCAGAAGAATAACTAAAATACAACATCCATTAACATTAGTGAATGTTGCTTCATCCACACCGAACCCATTGCAGAAACGCAATCAGTAGCAAGAAAGGCAGTGAGACATATTGGGGTTAAGGCAGCGAAGAAGACATGCTACAGCATAAAGTTAGTTAAGGAGTCGCCAGTGTCAGAATCACCCACCTCTAGAAAACAAAACAACATCTAATAAAATGTAGAGATTTCCCAACATGATGTCCATACTCAGTCCAAATCAGTAGATTCAAGCACCAGAACTTTGCACTGGTGTCTATCCACATAGGATGGGATGTGGTTCAGAGCAGAGGATCCTTGCACAGAGTGTACATTAAGGGAAGGCTATAATTACAGGCAAACAAGGAACAATAAACAGCGCTCTCTGAAGGATGCTAATTGTGGTGTGTAGGGTGTGCGGTATGCTGCTCTAAGAACCCGGAGAATGCCTGTGAAAACTACGATGGAAGCACAAGAGCGCAATGACCATACAAATACATTGTTGTAGAGACTGTCTGTCTCTATATCAGAAACCAAGAAAGCACTTACTTGTGGATCCTGGGGATATATTTATTTGTATGGTCATTGCGCTCTTGTGCTTCCATTGTTATAATTACAGGGAGGGTTTCGTATTAGGGTTACAGATACTTTATTGTTAATATGAGGGAACATATGAAAGGTTTACACTGATGGCAACCTAAGTTATTCAAAACTTCATCCCTGCTGCAATGCCAGGCATATCCTATCATTTTGGAGTCTTCCATATACACCTGGAGCCTGGCTCCTCCTGTCAGTTTTTCCATTAAAGACTGAAGCAAGACTTCCTATCACTGTGGGCACTCCTGAGAACTCAGAAAGTAAAGGCACTGCCTCAGAAATGCGTCAGCCATTTGCTGATTTTCACATTCACCGCAAACTGAAGCCAGCGGGTCAGGAGACTATATAATTGAGGCACAGGGATTTATTGGGTTCCATTTTGGTTAGATAAGCTTTATTATCTTTTTAAAGTGTGATTAGCCGGTGTTTTATCTTTTTACTGAGTAATACAACTTATTTTATGAGGACAAGGCACTTTGCTCCTGTTTATGTTTTTTATTAGCTTCTACTAGATATTGAAGTGTCAGTTTTGGCTAAACATGCTCTACATATCAAGCATTACAAATGGAAGAATAACTAGACTGTAGAATAAAGAATAAATAGACTGATGTATGGTGTCCTTGGGAGGAAACCACTGCAATCTTCTGCTCTCCAGTAAGTGGATGTGTTCCACATGGGGTCAAATATTTGATTCTTCTCCATAGATTTGCTGATTTAACGTAACATATCTCAGCAATAAATACATTTCTGAACTTCAGAAACACTGGTTAATTCTCTCCCTAGTTAATCTTCACATTCTTCCACATTTCACACCCTTCCTTATCATTTCATCAAACTTTACTGTAGTCCAGTCTCTGTGGAATAGCCTGCAACCACTGCTTGTGTGCCTCATGGTTTCTCTAGATCTTCTTGGGAGGAGGATGTTTATATGAACATGCCATATGATCATTAACAGAAAGCAGTAGATTGCATATGCTTGTATGGCTTCCTGTCCTGAATACTCATTTACCCCTATGTTCAGGAAACAATAACTCATTTTAAGATAAAATATTTAGATCTTATGAAACTTTTTTCACACTTAGACACTCTGAAAAGGACATCATCAATTAGCTGAGCATTTATGAATTTACCCAATTCTGCAGTTGCTTGTTGGGCACTTCTGTTCTTGTGTTGTATGATAAACATTAGAAAGTATGTGTGCTGTTCCTAGTTATCCATATATATCCTGTGCAAAGGGGAGAGTAGAGCTTGCATACAGCTAAATGATCTCTAAAAACAGTCACTAGTGTCACAATGGCTGCCAGGCACATACAGGTATTAGGGAAGGGATGGAACATAATGGTCCATCCATTCCCAAACATGCTTCTATGACAGTCAGCTATTGGCTGTTGTTGTTAGCTTCCCTGAATAGGGAATTATCCCTATTCAGCTCATGCTCCATCCACCATATTTCTCATGGTACTGTAATATACATGTAATTAAGGGGATGTAGAATGGATACACTCATGTCCGAGAACATTTTTCAGTAATAAATCTGTGTGTAGTTCTTAAACATAAATGGAAAAACGAATTCTTGTATTCTTAGTTTACTTTGAAGTGCCTCTAGCACAGGGGTAGGCAACCTTGGCACTCCAGCTGTAGCAAAACTACAAATCCCATGAGGCATTGCGAAACTCTTACAGTCACAGGCATGACTCCCAGAGACAGGCCCAATGGGGTCTGTAGATTCATCACAGCTGGAGTGCAATGGATACCTACCCCTGCTCTAGCATTTAGCAGATGCATATAGTATTATACTAACAGAAATAGCAGGAAATGTATTATAGTGCACACCATGATACCTTCCCAAAATGTCAACCAGGTAATACATTTGACAAAACACTGAAAAAAAAAATACTTATTGACATTAATTGGGAGTTTAAAAAAAAGCTATAACATGTTGGGTATATGGTGATTACTTTTATTTTGCATGATGCTGTACTTTCAGATTCCTATGTGAAAAGCTATCACTTTCAACTTTAACCAATACCATTCACAGTTCCTCTTGCTGTATCTGTCAGTATTAGACTTCTATTACATGTAAAATGTCCATTTGGAGAAGAGGCATTGCTCCCTTGAAACATCGTACATGCTTCTGCAGAGTGTCACCAAATAAAGTAGTTTATCCCTTCTCTTGGAGTCACACTCTTGTTTTATATAATAATGTAAAGCTCTGAATTTTACCTTTATTTGAATATGAAAAGACTTCCCATTGAAGTCAGTTGGGGATTACACGTAACCTTGATAGGAAGGTGGAACATGTAGACAGGTGATGGAAATAGGGACAGGATATTGGCAACAGAGTATCTTCACTGCTGGGATATGTGGATACGTAGATAGGTATAACTTTAAGCATCATTTTCCCTGATACAATTTTCTCACCATCAGTCCTCAGGTTGGTGATTTAATCTTTGCTCCTTGCTTAGTTATTAATACAGTTATTAACACTGCTGTTTCTACAAGTGATATTAAAGAGCACATGATGTGCTGAGGTACTTAACTGGAGAAACACTGCCCTAATCACCCTCCATTCAAAACATAGGTTATGTTCTTGTAACCTATCTGCATTGCAAATATAGAAAAAATATCAATTTCTTGTGTTCCTTATTAACTTGCCAGATTGTTAAAGTGTTTCTAAACCCAAGAACAAAAATGTAATATATTACAGCTTACCAATACTTAGATGTTGTGTCTGGATTTGTTTTATTATGTCAGGCTTTTATTCCTTTATTTGTACCTGGTGATTCTACCAATAACACACTTGCTGTCCTAGAGTAACAACTCTTAAGGTGCCCATACACCTTACGATTATGGGACGAAACATTTCGTCCGATGATCGAATAGTCGTACGATTTTCGTACGACAGCCCCATCCTGCCCCGATGATCGCAAGATTAATTTAGCCGTAATTAACGAAAAGCACCTGGACGAAATGCGGTAATTGATTTGTCATATTTTCGTTAGCGCAAGCGCAGTGTAGATCGTACGACTTTTGACTGACGGAAACGCCAGCAACCTTACGAAAATCGTACTATCTAGCAAAGTTTTCAACCATGCTTGACCGTCTAAAGTCGTACGATTGCACAGTAATGTCGGTTGGACACTGCAATGCACAAATACTATTATCGGACGAAAAGTTGAATACAAAAATCGTCCAATAATCGTAAGGTGTATGGGCACCTTTACTCACTGTACGGTATCTATGGAGGAGCACATTTGCACCCTAGGCTGCTCTCTTGATTTGGACAACAAACACCGCCCTCCCCTCTCATCATCTACATTTCTTAGAGGAGTGTTTGTTGTTCACAGAAGATAGTTGAGAAATCTGATAATGTTGTTTGTGATATCAGTTCAGTACACAAAAAGTTACACAAGATTTCTGTCATGATCAACAGGTATTTTTCTGTATTTGCAGAAAATGTAGTTCACCTTAAAAAACAAATATAGCCACCACATCTAAAGGCTTGTAAGTGACAATATATTACATTTAGGGGTTTAGATATAGTTTAACTATTGTGTTTATTATTTACTGATGCAATACAATGTTTCTTCATAGTTGCTGTTGTACACTTGTTCTCTCCTGCTGACCATGGTCTTCAGTTCAGAGACTTCAAAACCAGCTAAGAACAGAAAGAAAGGACATGCCAAGGGAAAAGAGAATCCAGGCACCTTCCAGGATAAAGGCCATGGGAAAGCATCTCCAGATCCTGTTCTAGGAGGGAACTCTTTTGTCCCTTCTCCATATTATAGTTTAGTGGAAGAATTTGAGCAAAGTTTAATTGAGATGGTAAACCAGCTAAAGAACACCTCTGTGTCCTCAAGTAGCCGATGTGAAGTGAACCTGAGACTTTGGATTTCTAACAGGAGGAGTCTTTCACCTTGGACTTACAGGTAACATTGGTCATTAATAATACACATGATAAATGTACAATCTAGACAGATTGTATTGTGCTGTGGTGTGCTGGTTTTAACTGTGTTTACTGCATTTGAATTATGGACCGGCTTTTAGTGGGATCTATTAAATCTTATAACACTTCTTGGTGCACAAGTAGATTTTTTCAAGAGGGGAAAAAGACAAATACTACCTTGGCCTATTTAAATCTGTATTTTCATTTGAACTTCATTCATGATGGGTTATTTCCTTATATTCCTTCCCATAACCCTCTCACCCCCCACCCCACTCCAGTTCTTACCCTGAGTAGTGGATAGAGTAGCAGTAACTGTGGCTTGCTGCCCCATAGCGTCCAATAGTTATGTTACCAATGCTATTATGTATATGTGTATGGGAAGCATGGAAGTCACACGATGAGAGAACCTCAGCATACATCCGGTGGAGTGTGTATGAAATCATTTTGATTATAATATTACAATATGATTGTACAATTTCTATACAATCTCCTTTAGATTTGCCGAATATATATGTAATACCAGGGCATCTAAATAATGAACTCCATTTTTTACAATCAGGTAGGTCCTTTTACTTGATATTTGTTGGTATCTCTAAGAAAGATTGTGCAATTAGATTGTATGGCCAGCTTTAAGAGGGTACAAAACAAGAGGGGGAATTGATTCAGTACAACTCTATCAACATGATAAGGCCTGGAAACATATTGACCAAGAAAAGGCACAATAAAACTACTAAGTTCTTAGCCTTAAACCTGTTCAATTCTATCTATTATGTGAAAAATCTACTTAAACATTCACATATCTGGATTTTAATTGAGATATTTGGTTTTTATTGCACTCCCTTGTGCAGTATATTGCAAGCAATGGGAAGCAGAAAAATAACAGGCGGGCATCTTCTATGAAATGAATGGACTGGAAGTAGATTGTTTTGGAAACATTTGCTGCCTGCTATGTCACTTTCATTTGAGATATCTAGCATTATGATACGATACATAAAATTTACATATAACTTCAAAATGTCAAAAAACCTCTTGAAATGTTTGAATAAAAGTTCATTATATGGTAAGTCCATTTAAAATTTACATTTAAGTTTTGGGTAGATGCCAATAGGTTGAATCGCCTTCTGTTTTTTTTATAACTCACAGAGGCCCAATCTCCAATCTTATAAGGCCAACTCCATGTAGACACAGGCCCTTAAAATGGACTTACGTTTATCTTACATTGAAGCGAATGGAGTGAGTTAAGTAGGCAGGGAGATCTCATTCGGAGAGTTCCTGAGAAAAACGAGAAGCTTAACCCCTTGGAACCTATAAAAAATAGGAAATATTATTACATAGGTAAATTTTATGTTTAATTAAGTCACATACAATGATACATATAAAGATACCTCACAAAATCCTACAAGTGCAAATGTCCCTTGCACATGCTATTCTATGACAAACCTTTAGATGACATGGCATTTAACACTGCCAAAACCACTACATTCTACCCATGTATTATACTCATGTAAGCATCCCAGCAATTTTACAACCTCTCCCAAATGCTTGTCACCATCTTCAGCTTTTTTTAAATCACTTTCTTCTCTCTCCAAGTTTAACACACACACACACACATTTTTCTTTATGTCCTTTATCCTCTGCCAGACACTACACAACAAGCCAGGACTCCCTGCACATTCATTTTTCAAGTAGTGGCTCAGTTACTGACTAAGGTGCTTGAAAAACCTCTTCAGGTAACACATGAATAGGATAATGTAGTTTATAAACAACACACAATTTTTTGCACAGTATGATCTTTCTAGTTTTCGAATTATATGCAGACAAAAAGCAAACCTTTGTAAATAGAGGCAGAAAAAAAATACTGGCTGAGATAGCTGAGGGGATGTTTTTATTCACATAAATCATAGATCTCCGACCTATGCCAGCTCAAGAGGCATGCTTATCTATGACAAGTGTTGGTGAGCCAAGCTAACAGTGGTATTTAATGAAGATTCAGAAATTAGAGTAAAAAGGTATCAGTATTCAGGAATGGCTCTGTAAGTGACTTGTTAGGAGGCATGTTCTTTGGAGTGAGGGCCCAAGATGTCACTAGCTGTGTCAACATTGGCTAGTTATGACATAGTAGGAGCCACTAAACCCAATAGGTAGACAAAGCAGGTAAATCTACCCTCTGTCTCTATACTAACAACTTTCAAAAATTGTAACAAGATTGTACAGATAGTGGACTTTTTTAAGGCACCCACTCGGACTATTTAGTTAAAATATTATCAATTCATATAATTTTTTTTATTGAATATACAAATCAATAAATAAAAACCGTTAAAAAAAAGCATAAACAATAAAATATAGCTACATTAAAACAGTGTTGTGTAAATAAATCATCTCTTCCGCCAGACCTTTGTATAAACACAACAAAGTATATACAGAGTTTTTGACATCGTGGAGCTGAATCCCATCTGCACACCTATATTGTAATACATTGGACATAGTATATACAAACTATGAGAGGGTGAAAAAAACAAACCTCTGTATATACTTACCGTACTTTGTTGTGTTTATACAACGGTGTGACGGAAGAGATGATTTAATGAGACAAACACAGTTTTTAATGGAGCTATGATTTATTATATAT